TTTTTACCTCTAAATTTGTAATATTCTTCCGTTTGGCTACAAGGGCTAATGCGAAAGTACTGCATTAGGTGATAGTGTGTAACACTATACCCATAGCAATCATGAATAACCACTACTAGTGAGACCAAGAGAAAAGTGAATATAAGCCCTCACAAGAATATTTTTATTTGATAATCAACGTATACTTTTCAGGTAACATTACAAATCTCATAGTACTGGCCAGCCGTCGGTTACGAGCCGTATCCTACATGTATTTGAGAGCATTAGCAGTCGCTGATCTTCTATGTATGATTTTCGTGCTGCTGTTTGTGACGACCGAGATCCTCACAAAAAACCGTGTACCGATTAACCAGTACAAGCTCTACCAAATCTACCAATGCCACTTCATGCTCACACTCATTAACTGGGCCCTCGGAGCCGGTGTATACGTGGTGGTGGCGTTATCACTGGAACGTTACATATCCATTGTGTTCCCGATGCATTTTCGTGCATGGAACTCACCACGAAGAGCGTCGAAGGCCATCATAATTGCCTATATTATTCCTGCTCTGTTATATATACCGTATGCAATTACTCGGTATAAAAGTATCGAGAAATGGGATGAGCATGTGAACGCTACCATATATAAGATAGACGACCACGAAGTCTATAGGACATTACCGTGGCAGGTGCTGGCACGCTTTTCTTCGACAAAGCTCGCGTCTCTAATATTCAAATTTCAGATCTATAAGTGGACACGAGAGACTATTCTACGATTTCTTCCCATTATATTCTTATCCGTACTCAATATACAAATCATGATTGCATTTCGAAAACGGCAAAAGATGTTTCAAAAATTGACGAAAAGAAAGGAACAAGGAACAGCTCACAAGGTGCTTTCCAGTTTTGGCAAGCCTTGTTACATACTCATTGTTCTTTTTTTAGGATGACACTTTGATGTATATGTTAGGAGGAACAGTGTTTATGTCGCTTTTGTGCAACATACCAGCTGCAATCAATCTTTTACTGATTGATGAGGTAATGTAGATGACTTAGGAAGTTATCAACATATGTCAGAATTTTTTTTCAGACGCTCAAACGACGGCTAGATTATCAGATATTCCGAGCAGTAGCCAATATTCTTGAAATTACCAATCATGCTTCGCAATTTTACGTATTCTGTGCATGCTCGACCGACTACAGGACGACATTTCTCCAAAAGTTCCCATGCTTCAAGAAATCCTATGCAAACCGCTCACGATTGAGATCATTTGTGAAACGGACACAGTCAGTTATAACAAGGGATAAAGAAAGCGATCAGCCCTCGTCAAGTCCAAAGGTGAGTGTACGCTTTAGAGTTGCTCGTGTGCCAGTGCTGTGCCAGCGCCACGCTGGTGCCGTACCAGGGCCGTACTTGCGTCGTGCCGGCACACACATTCAAAGGCAACACTGCACCTTGAAGTGTATGACCATAATTTTTATTTTTAGGCTGCTGGCTCACATCAAAAAGCTCCAGCAGAGCCAGAAACCGTGGATGTGCATCTAGCATCAGGCGAGGAAAGCTTGAGCGAGGGAAGAGAATCCGACTCCCTGATCAAGTATGGCGCTGTCGCCAAACTCGCAACCGACACCAATGGTAGTACTTTCTTGTAGACGAAATACTAGCCCCGTAAAGAGTGCAGTAGAGATTTTCTATTCATCGTTACCTCATTACGCTATTCGCTCAATTCGTGTCAAAGCTTGCCGCTT